GCCTCTGACAACATCAACAATGTCAGAGTTTTAGATTAGAATCTATATTACTTGATCCATTAGAACTTTTTTCTTTTATTATTATTATGTTAATCACCATACATTACATCATTAGTTTTTGATGTAGCGTTCCATGATTCATTGTTTGCGTATAACACCCAGTGCTCCATGCAATACGTGCCCTCCTTAATACCCATCAGCGGGCTAACCCATCCCCCTACCCCCTCCCCTCTAAAACCCTCTTTTTAATTGAAACAAAGTCAACCTTCTCAGTAATAGGATAACACCAGCTAGTTTTTCTGGGCTGTGAATAATTATGGGACCAAGTTGATTGGTCTGCCTAGAAAAATAAAAATATTTGGAATCATCCTAGCAACTTCTTCCTTCTGTTGGAACTAGACCCTTGATTATATAAAGATAGCGCGGTTTCTTGCTATACAGATAGGTTGCCGAGATTACTACCAGACGCCCGTGACAAAAGAAATAATGCTGAAAGAGAAATTCTGAGAAATGTTATTTAACTTAAACTTTAAATCTAGATAAGCTCTGGATACCTAGAAGTAACAAAAATAAATGAGAGGAAAAGTTACGCCATTAGAGGGCACTTTTGTAATCTTAGAAGAAAAGTCAGTTCTTATAGACTAGCTTTCCCAAGTCTTATTCTTTAAGAGGAATGTATTTTAGTTGTTTATTTAAAATGACTAATTCTTAAGCTGAGTGTCAGAGACAGTATTTTATTGGTAGAGGAAAAAAATCTATAGAATCTTAAAACAATCCTTTAAACAATATCTAAGTGACACTTGAAACCTGAATCAGTGAATAGAAGTTGTAAAAATATATACACTCTGTCTGCATAATAGTTTTTTGATTAGCTATCTTTGATGCTTCTTTTAAATACATTTTGTTTAAAATAATTCTGCCTGTAACCTGATCAAATTGATCAAATGGTTAACTTTTCCTAATAACTGAGTGTGCTTTTCCCCAACAGTAGATGAATGTTATTAAATAACATTTTGAAAGAGATAATCCTATAGAATATAAAGACTTGTGCTTTGGGATCATACTAATTTTTTCCAGTTTCTTTGAACAATAGTTGTCATATATCACTGTGTAAATTTAAGGTGCACACATGATAGTTTGATTTATATAGATTATGAAATGATTACCACAATAGGCTTAGCTAACATCCATCTTCTTATAGAGATACAAAGGAAAAAAAAGAAAAGAAAAAAAAGATCATACTAATTTTAAACACTTTTCCAAAAAGTGTCTGTTTTGCCCATAATATATGGCAATTAAAATGGTTAAAATTGTTTCAGAAACAAAAAGCTGACCTGATAGAATTTTAGCTGGAGAAATAATGATTTTTTTTTTATAAAGAAAGCAAAAAATAGAGTTGAGTCTACTCCCTGTTGGTGGTAATCTAAATAAAAACTTCTGCCTGAGCCAGTAAAGTAGATAAGCCAGTAAAATAATTTAGCAAGTAAGACGGAGTGTCAAGAACTGTGAAGAGCTTGAGATTTTACTCTGCTTGTAAGCTAACAAGTTAGCCTGTCATACACAGCATCATCAATGCTAGATGGCATGAGACTCCTGGGTCAGAGACAAAAGCAGTACTCAGAGCAACTCAGAGCCATCCATAGCACAATCCACAGTATTAACATTTTCTCCCACTGGCTCCCTGACCCCCAATTCCCACAGATGAAAAGAGGGCCAGATAGCACCAGCCCCAAATAGGTTTTGTTTTTTGTTTTTTGTTTTTTAATGAGAGGAACCCTGAACTTGGGGATCCCAGATCTTCCATGGTATAGTGATCATGTCTGCTCTTGGCTCAGGAAACTTTATCTTCCAAGGCTTTTTGTTGCACAGACATCCTTGAGAAGATAATCTGGAGCAAAGACAGTGAACTCCTCTGCTCCCAAGATGTGCAAAAACAAGCACAGAGACCCATGGAGAATTATCTTTCTACACTTACTTTGTAGAATCCTACCATCTGAAGCTGTTCACTGCTATTCATTTATTTATTTATAAATGAAAAAGTAGCTGATGTGGCAAATATACAATAATCCTATTTTCCATATTTTTTAACTTACTCGTGAAAAATAGTTTGTATTTCTTACATCATATTGTATTCACTATGTGATCTTACCTGTCCAAGCCTCAGTTTGATCATTTCTGAAATGAGAAAATAATAGTACCTACATCATAGAGTTGTTGCTAGCATTGCATGAGATTATATATATATATATATATATATATAGCATTTAGAAGAGTGCAGCATGTACAAAACAAAACTTATTAATATTGTTGTTTTTAACTCAAAATTCATTTCTTATCACTCACTGATTTAATAAAGAGAAAATTCTTCCCATGGATGGCTAAGGAAGCTGGGAAGGTTCCCACCAATCATAACTAGCTACCTCCCTAACTCTGGAGCTGACCTAAATATCCCAAATATCCTGGGGCATTGGGCAGCCTGTCCTGCTCGTTCATACTGTGGTACTGTGCAACTGACAACTTTCTGGGCAAACATAGCGCCTAATGAGGTAAAGCTGCCTGAGAGTGGTTCTAGGGCAAATACACCTGAGTATCTCATACTCAAGGGCTGCCATCGCATGTTTGCTCTAAGTTCCTAATAAGTATGGAAAGCCAAATTCTAACCATTTCTAGAGACCAAGTTTATTGTCTGGCTTCTTCTGCTCTCAGGAGGCAAAGTTTCGGGGATGCCGCTACAAAGTAAACTGGATATATTCCATTATGCTGAAATAATAATTATTTCTTAACAGGGGCAGCCAAGCAAATTCTAGCATATCAAATTGTTCACTTCTGTTAGCTACAGGAGGAGGGCATCAGAGGGGAGGGATTAAGGTTTGTGAGTAGAGGTCCCATTCCGTTTGGTCAACCATGTCCATGTTTGTTTCAAATGGGTTCATTGAGTTTTGATTTTGATCCATCTAGCCATCTTTTATACTTATAAGCTTCATCTGCTATTAGTAACTAATATGAGCTCCTGCTTTCCATCCCCAACTTCCCTTCGATTCCATCCTGACAATTATCTGGATATCTGAGGTTCATATTACTTAATGAAACTTAAGAAGGCCTGGTCTTATTCCTAAATTGCTAGCTAGTTGGGAGGAGGAGTTGAGGATTCAGTCTCAGAATCATCATTTGTTTTCAAAGTTTAGAGATCATTACCTTAACCCTTTAGAAAATTGAGGTCCATCTGGAGTGGTTAACTGTAGTGCCTTAGATTACACATCTAGTTAGTGCTGCAACTAAAAAGTCAGATTTCTTAGCTCTCAGTCAAGTTTTCATTCAATTACAATACAATTGAGAAATAAGGATGAGAAATAAGAGCCCCTTGTAAGAAATTATGATGGCTTTCTTGAGAGATATTACAGAGGACAAACGTTTGGGCTCTGCAGTCAGATCCACCTGGATTTATATCCTTTCTCCGCTTACATAAGTGGTGATTTACTCTTACATGAGAAGAGTACCTACTTCACAAGGTTATTGTGAGGACTAAAGGCAATAATGCAGCTAGTGAATTTAGCACCTTGTTTTGCACATAGTAACTCTCAATTACTATAGATATCTTATATGGAAAACTGCAAAACACATGGCAAAAAAAAACTTTTTGAAAAAAGAAGTTAAATTTACTTTCTGGGTAAGCTCACTGTGAGAAAATTACTTCTCACATTCTCATAAAAAAAGAAAAGCTTATTCCCTTCAAAAAATATTTTTAGTTATATGAATCTATTTTTGATAGCACTCCAAGAAAGATAAAGTTAAATGATGGTTTAAGTGGAGGTGATCTCATAACTGTAGTAATGACTCTTTAGAAATAAAACTGGCTTTCACTTCATTTCAAATTATTGCAAATATTTTCATTCGACTTTCTTACTATTTAAAGCACTTAAGTGTAAACACACTATGTTTCCCTAATGCTTGAAATCCCTGATGTATGTTGTCAAAGAGATAAGGGAAAACAACTTCTTACAGAGTTCTTTTTGTGAGGGAGAAAGGCACCAAGTCCACAGAGAAAGGAAAGCCTTTCGCCAGTACTTGACATCAAAAGAACTTGCCTACATGAGGCTTCCTGTTAGGGACACTGAGACATGTCGAAGATGGTGTCCTTGACAATATCCCCACAGCAGCGTGCAGTAGAGAGTGATCCATAATTACCTATAGGATCTTTGATGAAAGTCAGTTTGAATGCCAAAATGTAACTCAATGAAAATACTCTGCTGGAGTAGTAAATATGTAACTCTGCTGGAGGTTAAGACAAATGACCTAACTATACAACTTTCCAACGGTCTCACTTGATCCGAGAGGGGGAATCTAAGCCCACTTCTAATATGGCAAAGGTTTACATTTAAATGTTGTGTTGAAGAGTCTAGTAATGAATAATAATTAGACATCAGCAAATAATTTATCTTGTGATTTTGGACAAATTGCTTAACCTATAACAAAATTAACTTTATCATCTCTTAAAACCTCTGGTTTATGAAAATCTGATCTTGGAAACAAGAATAATACTATACATGTATAATCCTTAGTCAAATTTCAAGGAAGAATAAAAATAATTGTGCAATGGTAATGGACTCTCAGTGAGTCTGTGTGTCTCTTTATGGTATGGTTCAACCGTTGAGACATTTGTATACCCATTTCTACAAGAACCATATTGGCTTCTACCATAGTGAAGTGGGGATTTTCTCTCTGAATATCCAGAGAAGTTAATGCACCAAGAGTCCTTTCATTTCAAAATCTTTTTCATATCTGAAATTCTAGCGAATTTGTTATCAATTCCATGAAATACTTCGGGAAAAAACAAAACAAAACAGGAAGGTTGTCTTCAAGATCATGTATGTATCCAAAATACACACTACAACTCTAACTTTCTGTCAAAACTAAAATATTCTTAACCCTTTAGAAAGTTTGCAACTTGCCCAAGCGTCTACCTGCAGAACTAATGTAAGCAATCATTTCTGTTGCCCCAGGATGGTGCCTCTCCACTGGTGTCTGCTGTGGCTGCTATTACCACTCAGCTCAAGGACTCAGAAGTTACCCACTCGAGATGAGGAACTTTTTCAGATGCAGATCCGGGACAAAGCATTTTTTCATGATTCATCAGTAATTCCAGATGGAGCTGAAATTAGCAGTTATCTCTTTAGAGACACACCCAAAAGGTATTCTCTCTACAGTACCTTCTTTATCAATAAGTTCATTAAAAGCAAAGTAACCATTTAGACTTAGATTAGATAATTTACAATCAACTTCTGAATAATATTGCCTATTTTCTCTAAGAAAAGAAAATGACAACACAACTTTTAATCATTAAGTAGAGGCTGTTTGATCCTTGCTGATTGTGATCTCTTTTGGGATGGAGAGAGCAGTTTTTGTAGTTCTTACATTTTAGAGTGATTATTTTCTTATCTTTGGGATAGCAGGAAATTTCTAAGAAGGGTTCTGTAGGATTAAGGTGAAATTAATCAAGAACAGGGTTCAAAACAGGCATAAGAAGACCCTGAGCTCACCTCCTCCTATTGACACAACAAGACTACAGCTACATATAGAACAATTCTCTCTGAAGAAGATCTGAAAACTAGCTGAACAGTTCCTCCACACAAAGGATAAAAAGGCCACATAGAGATGGACAGGAGAGGCAAAGGCATGATCTTGCGAAAAACCCTACCCCTAGTGTGGCAATTCACAAACAGAAAGACTCTGACAAATACAGAGCACATCCCTGAGGAGCAAGGGGTTTGAGCCCCACATCAGACACCCCAACCCTTGGGACCTGCACCAGAGAGACAAACCCCCAAAACATCTGGCTTATATCTAGGAGACCCAAAAGGCTATGAGAAACTAAGCCTCCACTCTTTTTTTTTAAAAAGGTTTATTTATTTATTTTAGAGAGCAGGGGAAGGGGCAGAGGGAAAGAATCTCAAGCAGACTCCCCACTGAGCACGGAGCCCAACATGGGGCTCAGTCTCACAACCCTGAGATCATGACCTGAGCTGAAACCATGAGTAGGACACTCAACAAATTGAGCCACCCAGGCGCTCCCTAAGACTCCACTCTTAAAGGGCATATGCACAGATTTACTCACCCCAGGACCCAGTGCAAACATAATAAGTTGAAAAATGCCTAGACTACATACAAAGGAGATTCACTGGCTAATCTAAAAGTGTCTGCTGGGGGTGCCTGGGTGGCTCAGTTGGTTAAGTGACTGCCTTTGGCTCAGGTCATGATCCTGGAGTCCTGGGATCGAGTCCCGCATCGGGCTCCCTGCTCAGCAGGGAGTCTGCTTCTCCCTCTGACCTTCCTCCTTCTCATGCTCTCTCTCTACCATTCTCTCTCTCTCTCAATAAATAAATAAAAATCTTAAAAAAAAAAATAAAAGTGTCTGCTGGAAGGGCAGGGGTCTCTTGGAACTCTTTCGAGGCATGGAGATGTTGGCAAGTATCATTTTTGCCTTCTCCCTCTACCTTGTTAGCACCACTAACTGGTAAACCTGTTTACCACATTGTTAAACCTGACAGGTGGACTTGCCCCAGCCTGGCACTCTACCACAGCCCAACCAAAGCCAGCATATGTGCACAGGCCACACAGGGGATGCCCCTTGAATTCCTGGGTCTGGTGACCAGGGTGGTTACATTTCTGAGCCCCGTGGGATTAAAATAATCAGGGAGACAGTTCTTGGCAGGCTACCACCACCAGGATACTGCAAAGACTAAGACTGAGGCACCCCAGTTGTCCTGTGATCAATCCTTCAAGACAGGGAGAGATAGTTCTTTCACCTAATGCATAGAAACCAACACAGAGACTTAAACAAAATGAAAAACAAACAAACAAACCAAAATAAAATAGAGGAATATGTTCCAAATGAAGAATAAGATGAAACCCCAGGGAGGAAAAAAAAAGAAAAAGAAAGAAAAAAAAAAACCTTAATGAAACAGAGATAAGTAATTTACCTGATAAAGAGTTCAAAGTAGTGGTCATAAGGATGCTCAGCAATCTTGGGAGATGAGTGGATGAACACAGAGGGAATTTCAGCAAAGAGATAGATAATATAAGAAAGTAGTACCAGACAGAAGTCATAGATCTTAAAAATACAGTAACTGAACTGAAATATAGACTATAGGGGTTCAACAACAGACTAGATAAAGCACAAGAAAGGATCAGTAACCCAGAAGACAGGGCAGTGCAACTCACCCAAACAGAGCAGAAAAAAGAAAAAATAATCTGAAAAAATGAAGATTATTTAAGAAACCTATAGGACAACATCAGGTGGAACAATATTTGCATATTAGAGGTCCCAGAAAGAGAAAAGAGAGAAAGGAACAGAAAACTTATTTGAAAATATAATGATTGAAAACTACCCTAACCTGGAGAATAAAACATATATCCATGTCCAGGAAACCTAAAGTTCAAAATAAGATGAACCTAAAGAGATCCACACTAAGATATGTCACATTAAAATGTCAAAATTCAAAGATAAAGAGAAAATCTTAAAACCAAGAGGAAAACTTGTTACAAACAAAGGAACCTCCACAAGATGATCAGCAGATTTTTCAGCAGAAACTTTGCAGGCCAGAAGAGAGTGACATGATATATTCAAAGTGCTGCAAGCAAAAAACTTCCAAACATGACTACTCACCCAGCAAGATTTTCAGAATTGAAGAGAGATAAAGACTTTTCCAGACAAGCAAAAACTAAAGGAGTTCACCACCACTAAACCAGCCTTACCAGAAATGTTAAAGAGATGTCTTTAAGATGAAAAGAAAGGGCACTGACTAGTACCAAGAAACCATATGAAAGTAAAAATTTCCCTGGTAAAGGTAAATATATATTAAAGGTAGTGAACTAATCACTTCTAAGGCTAGCATGAAGATTAAAAGACAAAAGTAGTAAAAGAATAACTAAAACTACAACAATTAGTTAGGGTATATACACAAAATGATGTAAAATGTGACATCAAAAGCATAAAATGTGGGACTGGGAAGTAAAAATGTAGAGTTTCAGAATGTGTTCATACTTGTTACCAACTTAAAATAGACTGGTATATATACATAGGCTTATATTTGTAAGTCTCTTGGTGACCACAAAGCAAAAACCTATGGCATATACAAAAAAGATAATGAAACTGGAATCTAAACATAACACTAAAGAAAGCCATCAAACCACAAGGGAAGAAAGCAAGAGAAAGAGAAGGAACAGAAGGGAACTACAAAAAAGCCAGAAAACAATGAACACCAACAACAACAACAAATGGCAGTATACACCTACCTATAATTACTTTAAACATAAATGGACTAAATTCTCCAATCAAAAGACATGGAGTGGCTGAATGGATTTAAATCTATATGGTGCCTACAAGAGACTCACTTTAGATGTAAGGACACACAGAGACTGAAAGTAAAGGGATGGGAAAAAGTGTTCCATGCAAATAGAAACCAAAAAACAGTTGGGGTAGTTATGCTTATATCAGAAAAAAATAGACTTTAAAACAAAAGACTATAATAAAAGACAAAGATGGGCATTACATAATGATACAGGGGTCAATCCAGCAAGAAGATGAAACATTTGTAAATATATTTTTTAACTTTTTAAACATTTGTAAATATTTATATACCCAATAGAGATAGGAGCACCTAAACATATAAACAAATATTAACAGACCTAAAGGGAGAAGTTGAGGGCAATACAATTATAGTAGGGGGACTTAGTACCCCATATTCATCAATGGGGTTGATGAATGGCTCATCCAGACAGAATATCAATATCAATATGGAAACACTGGCCTTAAATGACACATTAGACCATTTACTAGATATATACAGAACATTCCATCCATAAGCAGCAGAATATACATTCTTCTCAAGTGCATACAGAACATTCTCCAGGATAGATCATATGTTAGGCTGCAAAAAAGTCTCAATAAATTTAAGAAGATTGAAATTACATCTAACATCTTTTTAGACCATAATTGTTTGAAACCAGAAATCAATCACAAACAGAAAACTGGAAAAATCACAAATATGTGGAGATTTAAAAACATGCTACTGAACAACCTGTAGGTCAATGAAAAAATAAAAAAATACCTTGAGACAAATGAAAGTGGAAAAGTCACACACCAAAATTTATGGGACGCAGCAAAAGCAGGTCTAAGAGAGAAGTTCTTAGTGATACAGGACTACCTCAAGAAATAAAAAAAATCTCAAATAAATAATTTTACACCTAAAGGAACTAGAGAAATGGAATAAATGAATCCCAAAGTTAAAAGAAGGAAGAAAATAATAAACATGAGTGGAAATAAATAAAATAAAGACCAAAGAGACAAGAGAAAAGATTCCAATGAAACTAAGAGCTTGTTCTTTGAAAAGATAAACAAAATTGATAAACTTTTAGCTCCACTCACTAATACAAAAAGAGAGAACTCAAATAAAATCAGAAATGAAAGAAAGTAAGTTACAGTTGATACCAAAAAGATACAAAGGACCTACTATGAGACTAATATGAAGAATTATATGCCAATAAATTGGACAAACTAGGAAAAAAATGGACAAATCCCCAGAAACATATAATCTTTAAGACTGAATCATGAGGAGTAGAAAATCAGAATAGACCAATTATTAGCAAGAAGATTGCTAGTCCCAACAAACAAAAGTCCAGGACAAGATGGCTTCACTGATGAATTCTACTAAACATTCAAAGAAGATCTAATACCTATCCTCCTCTAAATATTTCAAAAAATTGCAGAGGATGGAACACTTCCAAACTCATTTTATGAGGCCAACACTACCCTGATACTGAAACCAGATATAAGGACACCACAAAAAAAAAAAGAAAGAAAGAAAGAAAGAAAGAAAATTACAGACCAATATCCCTAATGAACATAGATGCAAAACCCCTCAACAAAATATTAGCAGACTAAATTCAAATAATACATTAAAAAATCATACACCACCATTAAGTGAGATCTATTCCAGGGATGCAAGGATGATTAAAGATCCACAAATCAATAAGTGTGATACCACATTAACCAAATGAAGGATAAAAATCATATAATCACCTCAACAGATGCAGGAAAAGCATTTGGTAAATTCAACATCTATTTATGATAAAAATTTTCCACAAAGCAGGTATAGAGGGAATGCACCCCCACTTGGTAAAGGCCATATATGACAAGCCTACAGCTAATATCACACTCAACAGTGAAAAGAAGAAAGCTTATCCTCTAAGATCAAGGACAAGACAAGGATGCCCACACTTGCTACTGATGTGTAACATGGTATTGGGAGTCCTAGCCTAAGCAATTAGGAAGAAAATGATATAATAGGTGTTCAGATTAGAAAGGAAGAAGTAAAACTCACTGTTTGTAGGCAACATAATTTTATATATAATAAACCCATGAGATTCCACCAAAAAATGTTGTAACTAATAAACAAATTTATTAAAGTTGCAGGATACAAAAATTAATATACAAAAATCTGTTGTTTTTTTAAATACACTAATAATGAACTACCAGAAAGAGAAATTAATAGAAACGATCCTGTTTACAATTGCATCAAAAATAATAGAATACCTAGGAATAAATTTAACCAAGGACAAAAAAGACCTGTATAATGAAAACTGACACTGATGAAAGAAATTAAAGAAGACACAAATAAATGGAAAGATATTCTGTGTTCATGAATTGGAAGAATTAATATTGTCAAAATGTCCATACTACCCAAGGCAATCTATAGATTCAGTGAAATCCCTATCAAAACTCCAAAGGCATTTTTCACAGAACTAGAACAAATCATTCTAAAAGCTGTATGGAACCACAAAGACCCTGAAAACCAAAGCAATCTTAAGAAAGAAGGACAAAACTGGAGGTATTATTTTTCCTGATTTCGAACCATACTACAAAGGTATAGTAATCAAAACAGCACGGTATTGGCATAAAAACAGATACATAGATCCATGGAACAGAATAGACAGCCCAGAAATAAACCATGAATACCTGGTCAATTAATTCATCACATAGGAGCCAAGAATATACAATGGGAAAAGGACAGTTTATTTAAAAAAATGCTGTTGGGAAAACTGGATAGCCACGTGCCCAAGAATGAAACTGGATCACTAATTTAAACATAGGCAGTAAGCTCCTTAACATTGGTCTTAACAGTGTTTTGGGTTCTCTTTTTCCTCTGTTTGTTTGGGTTTGTTGGTTGGTTGGTTGGTTTTGGATCTGGCTCCAAAGGCAAGGACAACAGAAGCAAAAATAAACAAGGACAACAAAAGCAAAAATAAATAAACACATCAAACTAAAAAGCTGCTGCATAGTGAAGGAAATCATTAACAAAATAAAAAGACAACCTACTGAATGGGAGAAGATATTTGCAAATCACATATCTAATAAGGTGTTAAAATCCAAAATATATACAGAATGCATACAACTTAAAAATAAAACACAACTGGGACGCCTGGGTGGCTCAGTTGGTTAAGCAGCTGCCTTCGGCTCAGGTCATGATCCCAGGGTCCTAGGATCGTGTCCCGCATCGGGCTCCCTGCTCAGTGGGGAGCCTGCTTCTCCCTCTGCCTTCCACTCCTCCTGCTTGTGCTCTTTCTCTCTCTCTCTCTGACAAATAAATAAATAAAATCTTTAAAAATAAATAAAAAGAATAAATAAAAACACAACGAACCTGATTTAAAAATGGGCAGAGGATATGAATAGACCTTTTTCCAAAAAAGACATCCAGATGGCCAATAGGTACATGAAAAAATGCTCAACATCACTCATCATCAGGGAAATGCAATCAAAACCATAATGAGATGCCACCTCACACCTGTCGGAATGACTATTATCAAAAAGACAAGAGATAACAAATATTGGCAAGAATGTGGAGAAACAGGAACCCTTGGGCACTGTTGGTGGAAATATAAATTAGTACAGCCATTATGGAAAACAGTAATAGGTCCCTCAAAAATCTATAATTAGAACTATCATATGATCCAGCAATTCCACCTCTGTGTATCAATCCAAAGAAAATGAGTGGATGTAATGTACAGCATGGTGACTACAGTCAATATTATATTGCGTATTATGTAATTTTATTTGGTTACAAGGGGGAAGTAGACTCACTGTGATGATCATTTCAGTGTATACATAAATCATTATTTTGTACATTTGAAACTAATATATTTCAACTGTATCTCAATAAAATAGGGCTTAAATAGCTAAAAAAATATGAAATTAAATGAATACATATGATTCCTCAAGGGTTTATTGCATTATAAGGATAATATTTCTGGGGTGCCTGTGTGGCTCAGTTGGTTAAGCATCCGACTCTTTTTTTTTTTTAAGATTTTATTTATTTATTTGAGAGAGAGAGAATGAGAGATAGAGAGCACGAGAGGGAAGATGGTCAGAGGGAGAAGCAGACTCCCTGCTGAGCAGGGAGCCCGATGTGGGACTCGATCCCGGGACTCCAGGATCATGACCTGAGCCGAAGGCAGTCGCTTAACCACCTGAGCCACCCAGGCGCCCTAAGCATCTGACTCTTGATATCAGCTCAGGACTTGATCTCACGGTTGTGAGCTCGAGCCCTGTACTGGACTTCATGCTGGGTGTGGAGCCTACTTAAATTAAAAAATAATAATAATAATAATATTTCTCTGAACAATATGATTAGGTTCTGAGAATATTAAACCCAACTGTAGTAAAAACTATCACAGTTCCTTTACCTTTACTCCATTAACAAATTGGGCTCACATAATGGTTCTAAATATTTTGACCTTGAAAAATGATATATATTTGTTTATCCTTTCTTGGCTTTTTCCCCCCACAAATAATGATCGGGGGCTTTGATATCTACATTGGGATGAAATGTTACCTCACACTGAGTTGAGAGTTACAACAACAATAGAAACATCATTTCTAGGAGTGAAAGACACAGTGGGAGGCACTCACAGACATTGTTGATATTACAACTAAAGATGAAATTCCAGATAAAATGTAGCAGCAGCGGATAGCTTTTTTCATTAATTATTCTTATGTTTACACATAAATTCCAAAGGCTAAATGGTTCATGGAGTGTTTATCCCTCAGCTTTGGCATTATAATTTGGGGCCATGTTTTCTTAGTTATTCATTACATTTCTGTCTGCCTCACCAGCCAGTAAATATCTGGAGCACATAGATCATGCCCTATTATCTTTGATTGCTGTTCTCTTCCACAAATGCTCTGTGTATGGTAGCCAACAAATGTTTGTCAAATTGTTAAAGTTTATTCAGATTATCTTTTATCCCTAATCGTAAATGCTTCCATATGAAAATGTTGAGTTAGAGGGACTCCCTGCTGTTTTGTATGTATAATGAATACCTTGTGGAATGCAAGAATTGTTTTGTCATTGGTTGCCTATGGCCTGTATTTAAGTTAGTAAGACACAGTTACTTGGGAAATAAGCTACTTCCTTGTTTGAAACGAGAACAGAAGGTAGTAGATAAACTGACACATTGATTTCGGCTTCAGCAGTTAGCTCTGCTACCCACATAAAAATCTAACCCTAGAAGTTTTGAAATTTTTTACTTCCATGATGCCAAACAAAATATTTTGTTGTACCTATTTCTTTGTAATATAGATGGGTTCAGTTGTGCGTGTATTGTTAATATATCCCATGCAGCCTGGCCAAAGGAGCAAAATTCTACTGTCCAGAAAGTAGACTGAATTGAAAATTAGCCATCTTGTCTTGAAAGATGCTTATGATACATAGACTTCCTACCCAGTAAATAGTATAGTTATTTTGTCTAGATGACTTTATTATTTTATGAACAAGTTGTTTTTACGTTTATAGAGTCTTTGTCTTCCCACTGCCTGACTCCTACCCTCCTTCTTTTAATTCTTATTTGAATAGTGAGGGGGGAAAGTGCTGGATAGTGCCATTCAGATTCTGTATCTTGAGATAGAAACAGACTTGAGGTGTAAGTCTCCTAGAGCTGGAACAATAGGGTTGGTGTTAGGATTCTTGGGTTCTATTCATTAATTTAGTAATTGATCATTCAAAAATATTTATCAAGTACCTACTACATGCAGAAATCAGTGCTAAGTGCTGGGAATACAATGACATGGCACAGGAACTCTAAGTGGGCCTTTGTAGAGAAAATGACAATCAAATAATACAAATATATAGTCACAAATTTTAATAAGTGCCCCAGGTGAAAAGTACAGGACGCTCTGAGAGTATACGAGAACCAGACCCAGAATTAGGAGTCAGAAAATGCAGCCCTGAATTCAGAAGTGACACTTAAATATGAGTAAGGGCAAAGGGGAGCATTTCAGGCATAGGAAACAACATCCCAGAGGTGCCAATATGGGGTAGATTCTGGGAAACTAGGGGAGCCCCATGTGATTCAAGCACAGAAGAGGAGAGGCCAGTGAGGTAGGCAGGGGCCCCATCACTGAGGAAGTTTTAGACTCTGCAAACAATTAAGGACTTTTCCCCAAAAAGCTGAAGTCTAAAACACTCATCAATTCATCCAACAAATATTTATTAGGAATTATTTTAGTCTCTAAGTCTTCATCAATGAACTGAATGCCCTGCCCTCTTACAGCTTTCATTCTAGTTAGAGGAGATGGAAAAATAAAAAGGTAAACAAAGAAATAGATACTATGTCAGGTAGTGATCAGTGCTTTGAAGACAAATGAAGAAGTGTGAAGGAGAGCTTCATGGGTAGGAATGTGATATTTCCCATAAGGGGTCAGAGTAGGTCTATTAAATGAATAAAAACAAAACCAGCGATTTTTCCAGTGACTCTTGATTATAAGTCCTAGCACGAATGATCTCAGTCTGAATTGGTCCACTTCCCCACAGGTATTTCTTCGTGGTTGAAGAAGACAATACTCCATTATCAGTCACAGTGACTCCCTGTGATGCACCTTTAGAGTGGAAACTGAGTCTCCAAGAGCTGCCCGAGGAGGCAAGCGGGGAAGGCTCCGGTAAGCAGCATGCTAAGTTTGGCCCCAGGCTGCTCAATGGATAGCTAAAAGACCTATGACATAGACTGCCTTCGGTCTGTAAGAAAAAGCAGCGCGGATGCATAAGTGAAGACGCTGGAGACTTCGCAATGGGGATGAGAGAAATGGGGGATGGCACCGAAAGACGGTGATCTTGGTAATATAAACAGTTAAGGGAAGCAGACGTGGAGCCTGAAGGAGTGAGGAAAATGGAAAGGTTTGGACTAGCCTCTCCAGCTGTGGTTTGCAATCCCACCCAAACACTGGAATCAACACTGGGGGCTTTATAAACTACTGATGCCTGGATCCCACCCTTAGAGGTTCTTATTCAATTGTCCTGGAGTGTGATCTGGACACTGGGACTATTAAAATCTCCCCCTAGGTGATTCCGGTATGCAGCCAAGATCTCTGGGGAGTAAAGGGTGGCACCAGAAAGAGGAGTAAAAAGGCATTGAGCACTGTTGAAAGGCCAGGATGACAAGAAAGTCAGTAAGAGGGGTATGTTAGGCATTTAAAGAAGATGCCAATAGTGGAAAGCAAATACCAAGATACAGGGAAATGAGAAGAGTCCATATGAGGCCCTGGGGTGACCTGCTCCCTTTAAGGGGTGAAGGCATCATAGCTTAAATATGAAGGCTTGGTGACTGGTGCCACGCAAAGGATGCTAGCAAGATGCACTACCTGTAGGGATAAGATGACAGAGAGTTGTAACTAGGAAAAGATGGGAAGTATGTCCTCAGGGGAGACAGAGAATAAATAACTGCGTGAGATTGTTCATCTCATGGTTTGGGAATATGAAATTCTACATCCCTCACTCAACTTGCAGCAATAAGCTGAGCAAGGTACATTCCCACACTGGCTACTCAATCCTTCACTAAGTCCTGTAAACGTATCTGGCATCTATATGATATCTGAGATTAACAATAAAAAGACAGAAAAAATTAGTTTGGTTTCCATACTTTCCTCTTATTATTCCTAGGCATGTGTTCTCTACACTGAAAATTAGGTACTCTTACTGGTGCTTTATATTCTATATTTTAATGAAAGACTGTCCAGTCCTAGTAACAAGAGTAAAAGTAGTGAAATGGCTGGCCATCAAAATGCAATCAGATTGAATCATTTTGATAAGCAGACTGACAGTAGGGATTAATCTCTAAAAGGTTTACAGTCTTTGACCTGGAACTTCCAGTAATTGGAGTCTATCCTGAAGCCTAAATTTAAATATATATATATATATATATAGGCATTATCTTAAATGGTCAAAAATTGACCAACAGTATTATTTACATATTTATGAAAATATTTTTTAAAAAATTTTTATTTTATTATATAATAATAATATTAAGTGAGAAAGACAGGATTCAAGATGGAGGTTTGTCTGGGAACATATATGTATGAGAATAAATGTTACTAAGTTATAGAGAAAGATGAAAAAGAACACCAATTGCATAAAAATATGTAAAGGACTGAATGGAAATGAATCAAAATATTAATGGATGATTTTTTATCTTGTTCTCTTTCTCTATTTCCCAATTATCTACTGAGAAGATTATAATTTTTTAAATTTTTATTTATTTATTTATTTTAGAGAGAGCACAAGTGGGGAGAGGGGCAGAGGGAGAGGAAGAGAGAATCCCAAGCAGACTCTGCACTGAGCATGGAGCCTGACTTGGGGCTCAGTCCCACAACCCAGAGATCATGACCTAAGCGGAACTCAAGAGTTGGACGCTTAACTGACAGAGCCACCCAGGCGCCCCACATTATTATTTTTATAACAGAGAATAAAGAAGATAGTTTCGAAAATAGAATTTAAGGTCGGCAAGCCACAGTACGTACCTTGACATGTAGCTTGTGTTTTTCTCGTGTCTTCTAGGTGACCCAGAGCCTCTGGAGCAGCAGAGGCAGCAGATCATTAATGAGGAAGGCACAGAATTATTCTCCTACAAAGGCAACGATGTGGAGTATTTTATATCTTCTAGTTCTCCATCTGGTTTATATCAGTTGGAGCTTCTTTCAACAGAGAAAGACACCCATTTCAAAGTCTATGCCACCACAACTCCAGAGTCTGATCAGCCCTACCCCGAATTACCTTACGACCCAAGGGTAGATGTTACCTCCCTGGGACGCACCACAGTCACTCTGGCCTGGAAACCGAGCCCCACAGCCTCCTTGCTGAAACAACCCATTCAGTACTGTGTGGTCATCAACAAAGAGCACAATTTCAAAAGCCTCTGTGCAGTAGAAGCCAAACTGAGCGCAGATGATGCTTTCATGATGGCTCCAAAACCCGGTCTGGACTTCAGCCCCTTTGACTTTGGCCATTTTGGGTTTCCTTCAGAGAATTCGGGTAAAGAACGCAGCTTCCTAGCAAAGCCTTCTCCAAAACTGGGGCGGCACGTCAACTCGAGGCCCAAGGTTGACATTCAGAAAATCTGCATCGGAAACAAGAACATCTTCACCGTCTCAGATCTGAAACCCGACACCCAGTACTACTTCGATGTCTTCGTAGCCAACAGCAACAGCAACATGAGTACGGCGTACGTGGGCACCTTTGCCAGGACCAAGGAGGAAGCGAAACAGAAGACGGTCGAGCTAAAGGACGGGAAAGTTACGGATGTGTTCGTCAAACGGAAGGGAGCGAAGTTTTTACGGTTTGCGCCAGTCTCTTCTCACCAAAAAGTCACTTTCTTTATTCACTCCTGTCTGGATGCTGTTCAAATCCAAGTGAGGAGGGACGGGAAACTTCTTCTGTCTCAGAATGTGGAAGGCATTCGGCAGTTTCAGCTTCGAGGAAAGCCCAAAGCAAAGTATCTCATCCGCCTGAAAGGACACAAGAAAGGAGCATCGATGCTGAAGATACTGGCTACCACAAGGCCCAGCAAGCAGCCTTTTCCCTCTCTTCCTGAAGACACAAGAATCAAAGCCTTCGACAAGCTCCGCACCTGCTCTTCGGCCACCGTGGCGTGGCTGGGCACTCAGGACAGGAACAAGTTCTGCATCTACAAAAAGGAAGTGGACGACAGCTACAATCAGGACCAGAAGAGAAGAGAGCAAAACCAATGCCTAGGACCGGACACAAGGAAGAAGTCAGAAAAAGTCCTCTGTAAATATTTCCACAGTCAAAACCTACAGAAAGCAGTGACCACGGAAACGATTAAAGGGCTTCTGCCCGGAAAGTCTTACCTGCTGGATGTGTATGTCATAGGACATGGGGGGCACTCGGTGAAGTATCAGAGCAAAGTCGTGAAAACCAGGAAGTTTTGTTAGTTACCTCGTCTGGAGAGATGCTATTCCATAGACCTGCAGGAGAGACATGGAATCACTTTAAGGATAGACTGACTGAGAGAAGTGGTGACTGGTCGTCGGACCATGGAGGGAAGGATATCAACTCGTGTATGTTGGTGTTTATATGAGTAACTGTTGAGAAGACTTGGTGTCTAGTGTGCCTCGGTGGTACCTAGTGTGCGTCTGCTGCCCATTGCTGTCAAAGCGAGAGGGCATCTGGAAGGAACTGCCATCCCTTGTTTTGACCACTGCATGAACTGCTTCTAAATTATTTTATTACATGAAAGTTTAAAATATGCCATTCATTGCACACATCCACAAATGCAAATCATTCCTCTCTATAGATGCTAGGATATATATAAATTATTTTATAAAGTCTTGTTTTAAATGTCAGTGTTTCTATGATTGTAAACTATTAAATTCTTTTCCTGTTAAAGTACAGATCTAATCTAAGTATATAATTAAGTGGACAGCCCTCTAGTCAGTTATATTGCTATTGTAAATTCTTAACTGTTGAGTAAAATGTTTAAATACTGTATGTATCTCATGTACAAAGTTGACATACATTATATTCATGTACATAAAATTAAAGATATTAGATTATATACTGTTCATTTTCCCAAGCAGCTACCACGGTGTATTCAATTTCTACTCTGTTCATAAAACTGCACCCTTATATAATTTGGCACCGGAATCGACCCTTTTTGTAATAGTTAAGAGAGCATGCTGCATCTCTCTAAAGTTACTGTGGCATTAGAAATAGTTACTACAGTTTGCTTTTGGACACTGAATTGGAGGCAGGTGTCGTGAGAGTTGAAGGAGTTCCAACAGACTTGTTTTAAAAGGATAGGCTAAGCCAAACACTATAGCTCAATAAGGATTCAACAAGTCGTTCTTAAGAACCAAAAATACATTACATTTATTTTAAAAATAAGCATCTATTCTATTACAATATTGGGATATCCCAAGTATTTTCCATCTGCTTGAATATCAGCAAGATAACGATTTCAATGTCCATCTGAAGCAATCTAGCAACCACCAGTTAGGACTTTATTTGGTAATGAGGAGACGACAGAAGCTACTGTTTTGATAACATTAACAGTCCGATACTTTGGTTTTTCACGAATTTTTACAAAGTAATTTAGGCGTAAGATGAAATTTAGGCAAATAATAACAGAAACCATTTAGCAAAGACTGCACGAAGAACACCCTTAGATAATTTCATTCTCCACAGCTCTATACATGAACTGTCATGAGAACATTAGATCAGGATTCAGAAGAGTGTAGAATTTGCAATCACCTAAGCTATATAACTTTAGGAAAATCTGTTAACTCCCACTGTCCCCCTTGCCCATTTATAAATTGGGTGGTGACAGATTTGGATAAGATGACATCAGAAGATACTTGGTATTATAAGACATTGTCTTTTGTAGAATTCTATGATTCTGAAAATATAAAGCGCTTCTGTAACTACCAGTGGGGACAGACGCAATCTCTTGACCTCTGCATTGTCCCCTACATGCTGGCACCACCCTTCATATGGCGGGCATGCGTCAGTGGCATTCCTACGGAGCGTAGCATCACTATGGCTGAGGTAGTATATGTGGTGGTGGTTTTTTTTTTTTTTTCCACAGAGAAGAATAATTTATTCCAGTAGATGGCAGAAATAAGAAAGTCATCCTGAAAATATACTTTGGTGCAATTCTGTTGGGACTGACAGCCCCTCTGAACATGCTCTCCTACTGATTGCCCCACTGGATTCTGTCTTGTGACAGTTAAACACTTTGCTGATTCCCATGTTGTGACCAGGCAGGAGTCATCTTCAAATTCACAGGTTCCAAGGAGAGAGCAATGTATTTCTCAGAAGAATAGCACCTTCTATCTCAGAAGAGTGCATAAACACTTTACAGAGTCAGCACAGTTTAGGTTAAGTAGGCACATAATTCGTCAAAACGTAAAAAAGGTGACAGGAAAAATACTGCATTGTAGAATAAGATATTCAAACATGGTGTGAATATTTAAGGCAGCTGACGGCCAAAAGAGGCGAGTCAAAGAAGGTGGTCTGGGTTTGGAGTTGATTTTGCATCTAGAGGAATTCTCTTCGTGACCTCAATGATGGCGCACTGGAGAGCAGGTCTTCCTCCTTAAGGCCAATGATACTTGAGGTACCAGATTGTTTCATTTTTCAACTGTGGTCCAAAGAGAGGGTTGAGTTGGGCAGAATTGCAATCAGCCAAAAGAGATAGCAGCAAACTGAACAGGTTACCAGCATGGCGATGATAACTCCCCGGTTGGGACCCTTAGGAATGAACCAGGGCACGCAGACGCCGACGAAGCCCCAGAACACACTCATTACGATGAGAGGCACCGTGAGGCCGTTATACGCCATGGTTGCCTCCGGAGCTCTGTGGTGGTCTTTTTGAAAGGTCCTCTGATCACCTGAGGATAAAATATCTCCCCTAAAAATCCATCATCCAATTCCTCTGGGTTATGATATCAAAAGAAAATTGATCGCATCTATATAAAACAGTAATGATGCCCAAAAGAATGTTTAAAAAGAAAAAAAAAGGACATGTGCCCAGTGGCCATGTAGCCAATCAACCTGGAAGGAGAACTTTAAAATTGACAACATCCCAGAGATGTTACATCCTAGGCTATAAATGTGGTGCATTTGGAAGGAGAATCGACTTTCTCCTATTACTCACAAATACGTTATTATAGAGCAGTGTGCTAAATGGAACGGCAATGGATCAAAGAGTTATTGCAGCTTCTGAAGGCGATGGACTTACTCTCAGCTATTGCTTAATGCCTGCGAACCCCTGGGAACCCGGCCAAGTCAATTTAACCAAGCTTTTACCTTTCAGCCAGCTGTGATGGTGGTTTCTACATAGTCTGGATAAATTTGAGAATTCTTTCATGGCCCCAGTGAAATTTGCCTTTTAGAACTTACAGGAAAATTAAGTACACAGTGTGAAACTTCTATCACTCATAAAGAAAGGGAAAAAAACCTATTAAAAATAAAGATCTCATTTACTGATGTGTTAGATTTTTAGGAGCACTCAGGTGAACTGGAGACAAGAAAGAGAAACTTGTTCTTAATTAACAAAGAACTAGAAAGTCGCTAATATAAAAGCACCACCTTGTCTTCATTAAAATCCTAGGATAGCTGTTTTGAGAACAGGGCGTTTAGAATCCCAAGGATAGTCACAGTATAATTGAAGAGGGAAGAATCTTTGAGGACATTTAGTTCAAGGTCACAATCTTTATTTTTCAGGTGCAAAAGAAATTGAAGACCAGAGAAATAAAGTTCTCATAGTAGAAACAGATAAGTAGTGGAATTGCCCAGATTCCAAAATACTTACCGAATATAAATCACTAATTCTTGGGGGAGGAGGGGAGTCACTTGTGGGTCATTTTCCAAAAGGAAATAATTTTTTTGTCTTATTTATTATTGCAAAGCAACTTATTCTTAAAGGCCATTTCAGATTTTCTTAAGAATATGTGTGTAACCTATAACTGACAACTTCAAACTTGTAAGAAAAAAAATTGTTTAGTTATTTTCAAAGACACAGAGTGTTTTAGATTTTCATGCACACACAAACTTCAGGCTATGAGATCATTAATCAATTGTAATGATAAGCCCTATATCTAACACTATTCAGAATCTATAAAAAAAATCATAGCAGATTATTTTCTTGGTTAAATTACTTTACAATCAATGTCTAGATTAATTTTCTAAATGTGCATGCATTAAAGGGTATGTGCCGGAAAGGATATATCCATTTCTTATTTTCGTTACTCAGAGTACCTTTGAAAAAATTATGATTTTGGCATCTCGAAAAGCCAGATGAAATGACTTCAATAAACAAAAAAAATCTCTTAGATGAACTTTACAGTTTGAAATCAGCTTAATGATTCTTAATAGATTGGGAGGTCCAGATGCATTCAGTGAAAACACACACACACACACAGACACACACACACGCACTTAGTTTTGTATACAATTCAAGGGTTTGATGGACCCGAAACTAATCAGGATCTCTTCCAATACTTTACCAACCCCTCTTAGAGATCATCTATTTCTACTACCTCATTTTACAGATGAAAAAATTGAGGCCCAACAAGATAAGAGCCCAGCTTCCTATACTCCCGTTTTAATGTTCACCCTAGGACTTAATTTTAAGCATTTCTTTACTTCAGAAAGCATGCAGTGACTCATCCAGAGTATACTTCTTTGTCTCTATTCCGTGGCTGGCTTCAAAGCAAAACAAAACAAGTTAGCATCTAACTTGAAAAACAAGGTCATTTGGAGCATCTCCAACCACTTCCTTCCCCACTTCGATATGGTGTGATAGAGATAAAATCGTCTGGGAACTTGACTTCGGGTCCTCTCACCAGCACCAAGAGAAGTGACCATGGCCAGACTTCAGCTGTCCTCCGTTTGTATCTGTCCATAGGACCTGGGAAGCATCAGGGCACACTCATCATTGTGTTCTTCCCAGAGCATTTTAGCCAGAAAAATATACAGTGGTTTGGGATTTGGGCCTTTGTTGTTGCTTTGAAGATGGAAAGTGGGAGAGAGGAGAGCAGGGAGATGAAATGGAGCATGGAGAAAATTAGGGTTTTGTCTAATTTCTTTCTCTAAGGGGCCTGAGAGAACAAGGACAGTAAGAGATCTCCTGTAGCTTAACTTTATTAAGATTTTGGATTCTGTTTTATGTGCAAAATTAACCTGGAAAATTTGACCTAGATCACCATCCACTCTATTAAAATTGTATCCACTGATTGACATTCTCATTTCCTCGGAAGTGTTGACCACGTTATTTGGGAAAGATTTTCAGTTCTGTTTATTCACATTCCCCCTTCCCAATCTTTGAGAAACAAATTTAGTAATCAAACTTTAGAGATAAAGTTACTTAGAATGGCTTTTCATATCCACCCTTTACCTCTTTCAAAGATATTTTTAGATATGTTTTCAAAGTGTAAAATAAATAGAAGGCTATTGATGGCCATCACAGACAAATGATTGGTTCCAAGATTGAAGAGTGCACGGCCTTTAGGCACAGTTATATTGCCATCTTGTCATTTTTCAGATACTACTGAAGATACGATGGCATCAGCTACCCCACGAGTGTTAGAGGGGGAGGAAAGTAGTTCAAGAAGGAACACTGAGTCCTAGGAAAAGACTCATTAAAAAAACAGAAATAAGGATGAATGTAACTCATCACCCCATTAGGCTACAGGGGAGAATTTCAGGTAAACTTAAGGTTTTCTTGAAAATTGTCAGAAATGTAAAATTTAGAGACCACGAGCCAAGGACACATCAAACACCCTCCCAGGATGTGGTTGTGTCCCAAGACTTCAGAATTTGAAATAATATTTGAATTGAGACAAAGGTGTAATACAGAGAAGTCGGAGCAGATCAGTTCTCACCGGGTAATAAGATCTTTCCCCAGAAAGATCTGGGGAAAAAATATCATCTTATAATAAGAGATATGATGAGTCTGATATTATTTGATTCTGAGTCCGATATTATTGCCAGAAACTGAGTTTTAAGCAGCAATTTCAACATGTTTTGGTTCTCTCTCTTTTTGTGTAAATACCTGCCAAGATTAATGTTGCC